AAACCCGTTTTTCTTCACCAGAAGTGTTTTTTAGATCACTTCGGTATATTGAGCGAAAAAAAATCGAAAAAAAATCTTTTCCAGAAAAGTGGTAGGGACCCCATAGATCTACCCTAGACGTTTAGCTACTGGCAGCCCAGGGACGCCCCCTATAACCTCAAAAGCGATCATATGGCCCTGTGAAAATTGAAATCTTCCTAGTAGGCGGTTTCTTGCACTTATTCCACTCTCATCACAATCAAATCAACCTCGGAGAACACGCATCACTTGTGCATCACATAGTATTCATAGTGATTCACGATTTATCTGTCCCGATTGCGATGTAACTCTGCGTATCGTTGATTGCTTCGGAGACTACCATACAAAGATGAACTATTACTGACTGCTTGAGACAAATATGTAATTTTTTTTTGAAGAAATAAAAACAATTTTTAGAAATATCATTAAAAAAGTTCGATTTTCGCAGAAAAAGCCGGGACTGAAAGGGTTAATAACTTTGACAGACTTCGTGAGATCTAATTAGAAACCAATTCTAAATGCTTATTGTTACTGGACATTCGCCGATCACTAACGAAGAATGTTCGAAACTAGTACTGGTTGAGTTAAAATTAGTAGTATATTTGAGTCTTTCTTGGATCAATTCCGACTCTAATTCTAGCATTGAAATCAGATTATCTGGACTTAAAATTGGCGTATGCTTAAATCCGATTCATGGTGCAATGGATTTTGGGGTGCTGTGTATGTAATTATTCATCGCAAGGTTATGTAGAAATAAAGCACGGCGATCAGTTGTATGATATTCCATTATCGTCTGGTGTGCGGTCCATCGAATTTTCTCGTATTTTTCAAACGATCTGGCAGATAAAACGTCAGAGAAAATCAGTTCTATATTGGTCTTATTGTACGCTACGTAATGCACATTTTCATATAATCTTAAACGGGCCAACATTGGAATCGCTTCCGAATTGACTATTAATAGTGCGCCAGCAGCCGGAATCTCGAATATTTTAGCAAGAACGTAGTTCATAATGCTAGTACTTGTTACTGCAGCAAAATAGGTATTAATCATTCTTCCATAAGCTTCATGTGCACTAAGTCGAGTTTGATTATTGAGCGGTGCATATCCTGGATGTGGATGGTAGATGATCGTATTGTTCGGGGCACCGACTGGCATCTTTTTATGCATCTCCAAAAATATTTCTCGATATGGATAAAAGCTAGTGATAGCTCCCGAGAGAAAAATTTTCATTTTTGGATTCCGATTATATGGAAGGTGAAAGCTAGGAGACGCGGAATGAGGAAGCCAAGTGCGATGAAACGAAAACCATTGCGGAGGACCTTGAGGACTTGTTCTACAATATACTTCATCAAGTTTGTAGGGAAACGCTGTGACAATATTCTCCATCGGAACCATCGCTGATTTCTTCAGGACTCTGTCATTCTCAGTCCATGCATGTATATCTTCAATAAAGAACCAAGGATGGCGTATCAATTCCCAGTCCTTCAATGTAGAATGATATCTCGCTGTCTCAAAGACATGGTTATATAATATTAAATCAGGTATCTGATTAAAATAACGATGGAAGTATGAACGAATAGTATCATTACTGAACCAAGTTCTATTTTGCGAACTTAAATCAGCTACTTCTTTCCATCCATATTCATTTTCAAGATATTTCCATAGATTATAATATTCGTCTGAAACAAAGCCAGCTACACACGCTGAACCGCACCAGATGGTAAAAAATGGCCGTAAGTTATTTTTAAAAAGGATGCTGGAGAATACAGGATTGACGGGTAGATATAACTTGTAGTAAGTTACCGCGACTATGACAGCTGCTGCTGCTATTATTATAAGCCTAGTTATAAATACATACTGGCAAGACATTTTTATCTGAAAGTGTACTTTCAAAACAGTTTTCTCAAATATGATAAAGAATCATTGCATCAAAGCAACAACCGCTCTGTTAGCTCAAACTATAGGGACATCAGCGAAAGAGAACGAAAGAGAGAAGAATCGAGAAAAAGTGGCCTTCGTGGGACTCGAACCCACACCTTCTGCTATCCGGGCAGATGTCCTAATCCAGTTAGACTAGAAGGACCATCTTAATCTCTAGTCTAGCGTTGTGTGATTCATTACAAACGCTAACACGCTCTCTTAATATAACTGCTCAATCGATGATCATGAATTCAACCGGAAGTTATCTTATCTTTCAAAGAAACTTTTCAGAGGATGCCATTTAAGTGCTCAGTAGAATATATGAAACGGTTAGCAAAATTGTAAATCCAAAACTTCGTAGAAATATTGAATGGTGAGCAAAATAAAGGTTGACCAATGAATTGTTGAAACAGTCAACGATTAATTTGATCGGCCTATAATAAAACTGACACGACCAGCATATAAAACGAATTGAAAAGTAGAACATTGTGATTTTGCGCCAACATGGTCTATTTTTCCTGTTACTTTCGCAACATCTGGTCCACATTTTCTAATTGTTTACCAGCTGTATTCAATTTGATCAATCAAATGGGTCCTTCCATGGGTAGTGAACCACAAAAACACAAGTTTCTCAAGTTTTTCTCATACTTGATTTTGAAGAGCTTTTCACGGCGAATATTTTTCTAAAAAGTTTCCCCTACCGGTCAATTTTTATCCATTTTGTAGGCACAAGTAACGCTCATCCTTTGGATTCACTGACCCTTTTCTAAAATACTTTTCTGAATGCTGAACACATTCAGAGACTTCAAAGGAGAAAAAACGCACTGCGATTTCTACTAGTGCTCAACTGGACCACGGCGCCATGTCACACACTATAATGAATAGGATGCAAAAGTCTTTTTAGAAATCAGACCAATTAGCCACCTGGCAGCGGATAATTCTCCAGCGCTAACTATGTTGACAGAAAAACTCATCACTCAACCGCTAGTCAAACGGCCATTCGCATCCAACCATGCCCTTTGTCATCTGTTTTTCTATTTTCACACCCCGTGCATGGAAATTTTCATAAATCCTTTACTAAGTCACTCATAGACGAACGATATACAGGAGACTACTTGAAAAGTTTGAACATTCGCTTGTGTCTTCCAGCGATAATCCGATTCTTTTCTCTCCTGTCAACAAAATGATACCTTGTCGAATATTTTCATTGAGGAATATCCATTCTTCAAATCCCTTTCAAAATTATCTCAAGCCTGGCAAGGTTATTCCAAGCGTACACTTTAGGATTAATCTAGCATTTAAACGCCTAGCCGTTATCATGCTGTCTCTATTATTCCTTTCACCTTTAATCAACTTTCAAACTGAACGATTGGGTTTTCCCTTTACTGAAAGGAGGGTATACGCAGAATTTGAGTTAAAGTTCGTTCGTCCGTTCGTTTTATTTCGTTCAAATAGTATATACATGAAACACAGATGACCATCTTAAGGGTTGACCGAAGAGTAATCGGGGTCGAGGATCTCGAATCTGAGATTAGTTTCTCGAAATTCCAATTAACTCATTAGCTAATTAAGCGATGAAAATTTTCTACGCTGTCGAGTAAGGGTTGACCGAAGGGTAATCGAGGTCGAAGATCTCGAATCTGCTGTTAGGTTTTCTTTATTTGTTGAAGTGCGGCTTCTTCCTTTCTCTTTTCAAAACAAATATGTTTCTGAATATTTTCTAAATTCTTATCTAGGAGATAGTAGGTTAAGCATCATGGCTGGGTATGATGGAATACAACCGAGAATGTCCTTTGGCCTTTCGTCTTTTTGTATGAGTATATCAGGAGAACGAAAAAGAAAAGGACGTTTCGTCCGAGCACACTGGAAAAGGATACTCTTNGTCTATTTTTTTTTGGCAATCAAATGAATAGAAGATCACCCACTCGAAAGCACCAACAAAACGAAACGTAGCTATTCACTTTTAAAGTCAACCAAAAGTGAATAGTACAGCGGAGGTAGATATAGGAGAGGCTAGCCGTTCCTCTTAAGAGATATTTAAAAGTTGAGTTTTATAAGAGTCTAGGCAGTGTCGATCATTTTTTGAAAGAACATAATTCCTGTCTTTTCGAGGTTTGAGAAAAAGCAATGTGAATTACCAGCTCCCTGAATTTAAGAAAACAGTAAAATATCTACGATGGATCACACAGTTATGAAAAATTTTCATAACTTCGATTGCAGACCAACTCAGTATGAATCGGACACTTTTTCTAGGAAAAGATGAGAAAAATTTAGTATGTACTGACGGGTAGTCGCAAGTGGCTGACCAGAGCGAGGCCGACGAACGACTAGGCATTAGTCTGAGAAACTTTTGAAGTATCAAATGAATATGAGTGAAAGTCTGAAGCAAATCATCGAATAACTGCGCTATCGAAATAAAACAGATTTTATTTATTCGTTTGGGCAAAAAGTTCTACAACGACTTCACCCTCGTCCTCATATCAAAGTGTTGCAAAACTTTTTGCCCAATCTAGCATTTCTTATAAAAAGTAGATGCCATTGGACGATATCCTTTCAGTAGAGGGCCAACGGCTACTAAGCCGCGTTACTTGTCTTTTTTTGTCGCTTCGACAGTCATGATCGTCTATCCATTCGACTACCCAAAAAATAGATAAGAAAGTCTTATTGTATGATTTGCTTCGAAACGAACATCTTTCATAGCGCTGCATGTGTTCAGAATACTGTTTGTACAATCCACGCGTCTGTAGCTACTAATATGGAATTTAAGCGACGGATATATCACTCTTCGAACTACTTCTACTAAATTCCCATGAAAGGACATGATGTATGTAGGCTAGAAAGCAAAGATGATACTAAGTTCATATCACTTTTTCGGATTTCTTCAATAAGAAACATCATTATGTACAATGCATTAGATCTTTTCGTGTAAGTTTTTGAGCTACTATCTTTATGTGCATGACGACCTTGAATAGCGTTCAGCTCATCATCTTCTACAAAAGATTTCAGAACTGTTAGCGTCATCGGATGATGACGCTAACTGTGTTTGTTTCTTTTCTTTCGTTTCTGTGATATATGTATTCCTTATTGACGATCATGATGTGCTCATGATAACCTTTGTGTTTTTTCTTTTTTCTTTATTACGTCGTTAGATTTCTCTTTGTCTAGACGCTATCGTTTCCGTTATATAGTGTAGTTTTCTCTTGTTTCGTTGTTGTCTATTATTCCTCTGTTTTGATGCCATCGTTTTTCCTCCCGAAATAAACCGACATCGGATCACCTCGGATTTCTCTTCATCACATCGATATATGGTAGGTGATAGGTGATATTTTCATTTTTGTTGTGGGTATTACGACGATTTGTTTGCATCCCCGAAGTCGAGACTCCCAAGAACAGATAAAGAAAAATATCTCCTTTGTAAAGAGGAAGGAACAAGCCCAGGCTCAGCGAATAAGACGAAAGGAGGGGGGCGCTTAAGAGCTGAAATCGCTCCCCCCCCCTCCCCCGTCAAAACTATTCCTAATTCACTCAAACCCGTACAACTCAACCCGCTGAATTCAAAAAAGAAGGAATTAAGCACTCCTCAAAGATCAATATCCATAGATATCGCTTATTTCTTTAGCTGGTAAATACATGGTTTTCACCATGCATCGACCCTATCGTTAAGAGAAAATGATGCAGGTCCACTCTGGAAACTACATAGATCGATGTAACTCTTCGAGATCTACAACTTTCTCAGCACCATCGATGGCCTCCGGAGTGGCCCTCGGGTACCTTTTAGGAGAGCTACTGTTCGAGAACCATAATTGTGGTCCTTTGCGGACTCCATCGTTAAGAGAAAATGATGCATGCCTACTTTAAAAATAGTCTTGATGAGTTGAACGTTTTCGGCTCTGCGAATTTGATTGTGTTAATCCTGCGAAAGGTTGGAAAATATGCTTCAGCAATAGGATAGAAAGAAATCCACAGTGGCGTAGTCTCCACGTAGATACGATAGAGAGGGAAAAGGAGATATAAACTATATCCGGTAGGTCGCGCTCACGGTCGACCACCACGACGTAAGAGAAAGAGGAAAGAAGCTACCGATAAGTTGGTTTTCACACCAGTACTAATTTTGCTTTAGTCTCCTTGATTCATTCTAACTATCTATTACGCAATTGAAGAATCTTCCTAAAATGTCTGATCGTTCATGTCCGTGTGATGCTCGCTTGAATCGGTCAACCGCAGTGAGATCACTGGGGTCGCCATTTTTTCGTGTGTTCATGTCAATTCGAACGATGAAAACACTGAAAAGTACGACCAAAGTGTGCAATATCTGTCGTCATTTGTACAGCAAATGGCGAAGAGAAAATCCCGAATTCAGTAGTATGGTAAATATCATGGATGGCGATGATTCCGAGATCGAAGCGATTGATAGGTTGTTAGCAATCATGTTCGACTTGCCCGACAAGAGAACGGTTTCTCGAGTCATCAGCAGTGTCCGACAAACGTTAATGGTATCTTTCACTCCATTTAACTTAGGGTTCGGTCATGTGACAAGACCGCGCATCATCGACCAGCACACAACAACGATATCGCGACAGTTGATGTGCGGTGATGGCAAGGACACCGCTATTCTTGTTTTGGATGGAACTTACATCTACATTCAAGTAAGCATATATCTGTACATTTGGTTCCTAATCATCTCTCTGTTTCTAGAAGTCTCAGAACAATTGCATTCCGGCGAAAGTCTTTCAATACTCACAAGAAACGATCTCTACTGAAACCAATGATAACCGTATCAGCGACTGGTTGTATCGTGGCATGTGTTGGTCCTTTCCTCTCCGATTTCTCCAACAACGACGCTTCGATAATCAAGAACGTTTTTCTCGAAAACATGGACAAGATCTTGGAATGGATTGAAGAGGTAGACCATGAAATTCGAAATGGGATGATCTCGACTCACATTTTTCTAGAATGACATCGTCGTAGTTGATAGAGGATTTCGTGACGCCATCGGCGTGATGCAAAGCCTTGGTTTAGACGTCGTCATGCCGCCTTTCTTAGATAATCGGCGACAATTCACGACTCAAGAGTCGAACGAATCTAGATGCATCACCAAGATTCGATGGATTGTTGAAGGAGTGAATCGACGCATCAAGGAATTTCAAGTTCTTCGCGAGCACCGTTCAAAACTCATCACTGATGTATTTACAAGATGATCCCTCATTACGAAGAAAAATAGGATCGAAAGAGTAAAACTTCAATTCACTTCTCCGATGAAACACCGATGTATTTCTTTTTCAGCTGCTGAACGAGAACAATCTGATGAGACGCCCCTCTGCATGGGAAACAATTGATCACACTGACATCATTGATGATTTTCCGACACTGTCCGAAGAAGATATCGGTGACATCATTGTCGGCAACCACTGATCAATGAAAGCTTCTACATCTATATCGGCGTTTCTGTCGGGTGCATTTCAGCTGAAACGTGCTCCATCGTACACCGCGGAAAAAGCTGGTACCAACGACTTAACTGCAACTGTTCCATACAGTATTCAAATGTGTCGATCATTCCCCAACCTTATCCGAGCGTCAACTCAGTCGACTCAAAGTCAGCGGCGAAGCTACTATCCTACGATTCAACTGTCGTCAGATGAAATTCTTGGCTGGTGGTGCGATTGTCCAGTGGGTAGTCGAGTCCTCGGATGCTGTAGTCACGTTTTGCCAGTGATCTGGTTTCTCTGTCATCGACGATGGCAATCGAACAGCCGACGCCGAACGTCCACAGATCTGATGAGCTTCTTCACAGACTCTGTACCCATTTCAGATTTCTACGATTCCTCCGATGACGAAAGCGCTACAACCGACCGATACTCATTAGCCTGATGAAGATCGTCTGTTTCTTCTTCCATGTACCAGTTAAATAAACGTGAACGTTCATGTGAGACTGCATGGTGGTCTCCACGCTATCTATTTTCCGTACATTCCCGGTCTAAATTACCATTTGAGATAGTCTGGAGAACGTCGATGGTGCTGAGAAAATTGTAGATCTCAAAGAGTTACATCGATCTACGTAGTTTCCAGAGTGGACCTGCATCATTTTCTCTTAACGATAGGGTCGACGCAGGGTGAAAACCATGTATTTACCAGCTAAAGAAATAAGCGATATCTATGGATATTGATCTTTGAGGAGTGCTTAATTCCTTCATTTTTGAATTCAGCGGGTTGAGTTGTACGGGTTTGAGTGAATTAGAAACAGTTTTGAGGGCGGGCCGATTTCAGCTCTTAAGCGCCCCCCTCCTTTGAAAGAGAAAAGATTAAATATCATTTCAAAGAAACAATACGAATTACCATGTGTACTAATAGGAAAGACAATTACAATATTTATAGTTCCTCGAAATTAAATTAATGCTGAATGTGTGAAATATATATATAAGAAAAATATATTAAGAAACAGTGAAGTTTTATTTCATTTGATTTTAATGTTAATTTAATTTCTGTATTTTCTATAAACATTAATTATATTCAATATGAGATTAAATAAAATTGATCGAAAAGATTCTTTGACTTTAAGAAATTAATTAATTAATTAATTAAAAAGAAATAAAATAATATAATTCAATTCATTTCTTTTCTATTAAAATGAAATTTTCAAGACACGTATTAAACTTTATATTTCTAATCATAATATTAATAAAGAAGATGCGAAATATTTTATTAGAAGGAAAATGAAATTGATCAAGATGAAATAAGATATTTAGATGATGTTTTAGTAACAAACAAATCGAGTCGCTTTTCTTTGATGTATTTTCTTAATGCATTGATGATATGATACTTTTCTTCAAACTTTATCTTAAAAATAACAAAATAAAGTTGAATGAAAATTTATATCAAATCTAATTCATTTTTAAAAATTTTCGTTAGATATTTCATTAAATTATATTTGTCTACTCATTTTTATACTGATCAAAGTAAAAAATATTAGGTGTTCTTCTTTTAAATAATAAAGAGAGTTTTGTTTCATTTTCTTATTGAATATTTCTCTTTAAATTTGTTTCAGACATTAATATACTGTAATGAATAATTTTTCGGTTCTATATGTTTGAAACAATCATTATGTCGTGAGAAAGCGGTTTTTTCCTCACAGTCATCATCATTCTAAAAATAAAAAGTTCCATGATGACGTTGGAAATTTCGGTGATTAAGACTGCGTCATATTATGTAAAATATTTTGCCAACTTTATGAGAAGAAAAATAAACATCAAGAGAAAATTGGATCACTTTTTTGGTTTATATTAATTTATTCAAATAATTTTAATAATGTAAGTTCTCTTCTTATTTTATTCGTACTTCCGAAGATGAATGTTGGTGTTGGTTTTTTCTAGTGTGGGTGAAATTATATAAGAACAGTTAAAATCACGATAGACTCATTACAAACAACAACATACCACAATAATGGGCAAGAAGCAAACGACTGACAAAACTAGTAGTGAAGAAAATGCTATAAACTGGAAAAGTTCGTATGAACATCTGCACTCTGATATTCAATATCTGCAACCTTTTACTGTGGTTTGGTTAAATAAATCTTTCGATCCAAATAATGAAGATTGCCAGAGTACAACTGCACAACGTTATAGTTATACTAACGATATCAATACATTCACAGATAATGATGAATGTATTGATTTTATTCTTGACATTGATCATACAAATATAAGTATGATTATTTCTGGATCAATTGGACAAAATCTCCTACTATGCATACATGATATCTATCAACTCGATTCAATTTATATTTATTGTGATAATAAAGAACATCATGAACAGTGGGCAGGAAAATGGTCAAAGATCAAAGGTGTATTTACAGATATTAACTCAATTTGTACAACTCTACAACAAAGAACTCATCAATGTCAACTAAATGATATATCGATGAGTTTTATTGGATCAGAAAAAAGATTAGATCAACTTGATCCCTCTTTTATGTATTCACAGATCATCAAAGAAATCATGTTGACCATTGATTTTGGAGACAAACATATCAAAGAGTTTATTAACGATTATCCCAATGCATTCGGTGGTAATAAGAAAGAGTCATATGATGTAGAACAGTTAATACGCCAGTATCATCAAGAAACATCTATATGGTGGTATACAAACCCACAGATTGCCTTGTATTCTATGCTAAATAGTGCTTTACGATTACTAGATGGAGATGTGATTGTACGAATGGGATTTTTCATTAATGATTTACATCGACANTGTCCAGAACCAGAGACCCTCCCCATCCCTCGCTCCCATTCAATGGCTTTTAAAGAACTCTTGAAGAAAGCCATTTTTTTCGTAAGTGTAGAAGAGTATATTCCTGATTAATAACACATGCAGTAGCGCTCGAATAGGAAAAAATGATCTAAAAAATCAGCCGCTCAGAAAAAAAATAACAGAAACCCCGTCGAAAAGACATTAGCGGTCAATTGTCTGCCGAACCAGTATTGCTGATTCGAGTGTGTTGTTTTATAGTTCCACTAAAAAAAAGATATGAATAAGCGATACGACGTGAAAGTATGTGACCAACAGAACTGTGCTAAGCATCAGTATTACACGCTTGTACAATCAGAAGTTGGATTGATTCTTCAAGAGTTCTTTAAAAGCCATTGAATGGGAGCGAGGGATGGGGAGGGTCTCTGGTTCTGGACATCTCGTTACGACTGTGAAAACGTTTCCATTGAATTCTACATCATTTAAAACCTATCTGAAGTTATTTTAATCGTATTTGAATTGAAAATGAAAAACTTGATCAAAATCAATACCCCCCCTATTCTCTCAGTTTCCCAGTAAAGTCGATTTTCTCGACAATAGAAAAACATTTCGAAGAAAAGCCCTTCATACTTTTGAAGCTTGTGTTCTGGTGGTTCTAATGACGTGTGAATCAATGGTATAGCTCTTTCTAAAAAACAAAACTAGATAGGTTTACAAAATGAATCACTCAGCCCTAATATCCATCGGCTCGGTCGCCTAGCGACGGTCAAGTCTTCATTTCCAAAATGAACTAAAAATCGTTTTCTGAATCAGTTTTTATTGCTGATTCAGAAAAACCTATTTTGAATCATCTATATCGTGAGAGAACTTCAAAGAAATTAGTTTTATGCTATATGCCGATTTTCTCGGTTTTTGAGACTCTCTCAATATTTTGAGATTTTCTTTGAAGGATGGGGGTTTGAGCATCGGGGAGGTGATATTCGTGATCAGCGTGATCAGACGAATCAGAATATGGATAAAAACGAATATTAAAAAAATTTACTGTAGTTTTGCATTTGCTGAACCTTACTTAGATTTTAAAATGGGATTGAAGTGGCGTCATACCGCCTCCTTGATGCTTTATTATGCAGATGATATGCCAAGTGGACAAGCTATTCAGGTTTTTGTCATGCTCCATCGAACGAGGGTATTCTATTACCCCCTCCAAAAATATATATTGTTTGACAGCATAATTGATATGGAATGTTGCGATGGTTTTTATACTGAATGAAACAACGTCAGGTAAGTAAAGTTCATTAGGGAACTGAAAGTGATAATTATATACTACATGACAAATTGACGTCGCAGAGAATTCAGCGGATCAGATCGTGCCGATGCTATTATTTCTCTCTTGCTTCTCTCTAATAGTATGCTGTTGTACGAGTTTTAGCTGACGATAATTGAACTTGTTGTATGGGGAGAAAAGTATTCCTTTTAACATTTGTTAGCATTCTTCTGTTTATCTTGGTGGCTTTTTATAGCCGTATGCCTTCCTCAGTTGGCAATGCTTATGGAGAAATAGCGAACGTTGTTAATGGTTCTAATGCAAAAGTGTCGACTATGTCACCCAACATCGCCATTATTGGATCGTCTGGATTTATCGGTTCACGGTTACTACAACATTTACAGGAAAAGGAGAAATGGAACGTTGTTGGTTATGACCGAGTTTTACCACAACAAGTTAGCCATGAGACCCTAACGAAACATCTCCAAAAGTTTGAAATTGTCATCTATCTTGCCGGTTTGTCTGACCGCTCTATGGATCACGAGCGTCCTAATGACATTGAGCTAGAGAATGTTAAGGAGGTTTCCAATTTTGCTCAGCGCATGTCATCGTCTCAGCTTTTGATATTTGCATCAACTGCAGAGATTGCAGAGGGCTATCGTTTAGATGATATGCATGAAACATCTCGCGTTCAAACAGATTTATTAGATGCCTATGTTGCTTCTATATATCACCGAGAGCAGGTTCTTCAAAAATTAAGTGCAGAGTCTATGTCTATGCCTCGAATTATCGGCTTACGACTTGGTACTGTTGTTGGTCTATCTCGCAGCCAACGAATTGATCACGGACACATGAAATACATTTGTCAGGCTTTCCTAGGTGGAAAGCTGGAAATAGTCCATCCCAAGTCCCATCAAAGTTTCTTAGGAATGGAAGATTTATTGCGAGCTATAGCTGTGATCGTTCAAAAACGTCACATATCAAAACGATTCGATCTATTTAATCTTCAATCATTTTCAACAAGTGTTGCGAAGATGGCAAATTCCATTGCACTTGCCTCAGGAGCCTATACACAAATGTTAATCAATTCATCTGGTAGGATCAACAATGGCTTTTCTTTAAATACTACGAAGTTTCGCTCAACGTACCATTTTGTCTTCAACGATAATCAAGAGCAAATTATATCTGAACTGATTGACGATGTACCTCGTTTATGCGCAGGCCGTCAATCACGTATAGATAGAGAGTCTGTGCCGTGTGTAGTGTGTGGATCCCGTGAAATGCACACAGTACTAGACTTACGGACACAGCCTCTCGCGAATGATTTTAGAATAAAACAAAACGAAGCATTGCGATGTAAACGATTCCCACTGCGTTTAGTACGATGTCCTGTATGCCAGCATGCCCAATTATCGTATATTGTTGATCGGAGTTATCTTTTTAGCCATTATTTATATCAAAGCGGTACAAGTAAAAGTATAGAGACCTATTTTTCGTGGCTAGCTGAAAAAATTATTGCCGAAAGTAAGAAGACGAATGGGACCGTGTTGGAAATAGCTAGTAATGACGGGAGTCAATTAACACAGTTTGCTCTACGAGGATGGAACACTGTAGGAGTAGATCCAGCGAAGAATCTTGCTGAACTAGCGCGGGCGAAAGGACATACCGTTTACGTCGGATTTTGGGGCACGGATACGTTTTCTTCTCTACCATCTCCGGATTCACTAGATGCTATAGTTGCACAAAATGTACTTGCCCATGTAAGTAATCCTGTACAGTTCTTACGAGCGTGTGCATCTGCTATGGGTTCAAAAACAAAATTGTACATTCAAACTTCTCAGTGTGAAATGTATGAAACGGGACAATTCGACACAGTTTATCATGAGCATGTATCCTTCTTCACGGCACATTCCTTTAAAAAGATCGCCAATCTTGCAGGGCTGCATATTACCAATTTCGAAATTACGCCAATTCATGGACGCTCTTGCTTAGTAACGTTCAAGCGAATCAAATCGTCGAACAGCACTTTCATCTCCACATTGCATAGAAATCTTGCGCCTCCTCTCTTATTAGCACTGCAAAAAGAGCGTAACCTCGGACTTATAGACACTTGGTTTTACGTTAAGTATCAAGCTCAAGCTCAGTTTATGCGTCGGTGGATTGTTCATCAGCTGACACGTCTTTTTTCTAACGGCTACAAGATTATCGGATATGGGGCTGCAGCCAAAGGTATTGTTCTTCTGCATTCACTTTTAGAAGGAGCAAATCACACATGGAGTTTCTCCTATATAATTGACGATGCTCCTTTGAAACAGAATACATACTGTCCAGGCACCTCAATACCAGTACGTCCAAGTTCCGAGCTAATGAAACATGATTCAATTGGACCACTAGCTATAGTCGTTTTTGCGTGGAACTTCTGGGAAGAGATCTCTAACAAAATTCGTCTAAAGGTATCCGAAATGGGACTTACTAATGTTTCTGTACTACTGCCATTTCCCCAACAACAACTAATTCGAATTGACTCCAGCACCAAAACAGTAGTAACGCAAAATACATTCAGATCAATACCTTGGCCATTTCCATTTCCCTCGATGCGCAAGCCTATATTATTATTTTCATATCTTAGTAATGATGCAGCACTGTTGTCGTCATGGATTCGTCACCACGCATCTATGTTCGATATGGCTGTATTCTTTCATCACAATGTTACCGAGACATCCTTGCAAATCTTTCGAGATGAAGCACCGGCTGCGTGGAAAATAATAGCACCAGGGAACGGAGAATCTCTTCTTGCAGTAGTCGATAGAGAGATGAAACGCTGCCAAAAGTTCTATTCAAACACATGGAAAACTTCGCTGACTACCGAGGAATTTCTGGTACATCCTAATCTACGCGGCATGTTAGCAGAAATAGAAAATACAGCTGTCGCCAAAGCATTGTGCGTGCGTTCTTTAGTAATGATAGGAAGTAGTTCAGTATCATTTGATCCGCTAATCCCACCACTAAACCAAATAACAAAGTACATTTCTAACTCATCGATACACACGAAGTTAAGTCATTTTTTGCCTTCTTATCGATGCCTCCACCACAACTCTTATATGTTAAATGCTAATAATCAGAATAATGCTGACTTAGACACTCTTAAATGGGTTTCGAATGGCTTTATTGCGGATTATCGATACATACCGTTACTAAAACATATGAAAACCAAATTTTCATATACAGAAGACACGATGGCGGAAACGAACATCATAAGTAAACATGCTCTGAACAACTTTAATGCAATACACGCTCGCTTCATCAAACAAAACCGCAAATTGATGCAGATCAGTGATCTTCGCAATATTGATCCTGTTCACCATGAGTTAGGGATGGCTCATCGCCTCTGGAGAGAAATGAGCAATCTTTAAAGAATAATACTACGTGTTACTATCATAAAAGAGAACAAATGTGATAACCTCCAATTAAGATTCAAATTTGATGTGTACTTCAAAAGGTAAAGGCGACCGGAGATTCGCCTGATGAGCCTGTATCTAACGAATCATTCATGAACGTACTAATGAGCTGTCCCTTGGACCCAGGGGATAACCTTTTTTCGTCTCATGGGATGCGATGAGCGATTAGCTCCAAAGACTTTACTCATTTATATCAATAAAACCTGATTTATTTTAACAAAAGGACTAGTGGTGGTTTCACTATATTTCCGTTCACGAGATTTCAATACGATTTGAGTTGTATATTGATTAGGCCTCTATCCTATATCTTTTTTGTGGGTCAAAACTTCCGAAAGTTGAAAGAGAAATAAGAAAGTTGAAAGGACACATACTGCATTTTTCCTATAGTCCTATAAGTGAATAAGTGTATGTGAAATTCTATCTTAATTTTTCAATAAAAACGACCCAGAACCACTTTGCAAACGGGTCTAGTACCTTCAGTTTCCTTTACTCTTTCTTACAGATACATTATTTTACAGAAAAAAAATGAACGAGGTATCCACTAAGCTCCAATACGATGTGAAAAAGTCGAAAAGTCTTGATTTTTCACGATTTTCACCAATGAAACTTCACAAAATGGTTCTAAATCAATCGAAAACTTTTTTAGTATGTTGACTTTGCTTAACTCTTCCTAACAATACATTTTCTTAAGAGAAAAAAAGTGAACCAGATGTCCATCTGGTTAATATGCTGTAAAAATAGTCGAAAAACCTTGATTTTTAAGGTTTTCATCAATGAATTCGTACAAAATGATTCTGAAACATTTAGAAATTGTCTGTAATACATTTCATTTTCTTTATTCTTCTTTTCAAATACTTTTTTTAATGAAAACAACACAATAGATGCATAACTATCTCATAGAAGTGCAATAAAATAGGAAAAAAAATCATAGAATTAACCGGGAACTGATATTCTACACACTTTGTTGTGTCAGATTTGTTTGATAATCATATAAGGGTGAATAAGTTTTTAGTAAAAACTATATAGAAGCGAAATTTAAAGTCTAGAAAATATTGTAAACAATAATTCCTGTTTGTAAACAAGGTACGAGTTTGGAAAAAGTTATAGATGTAGAAATATATGTACGTATGACAAAAACAATAGCTTATAATGTATAATATGATAACCTAATAAATATTCTAAGAATTAATTAAAATAAGATGTGAATCACCATCATCATCGCTTTCGCTTTGCGATTCATCACTTAGTTCTAGTTCACCTGCATCAGTGAAATCACCGGAATATAAGGAAGATCGTTGCTGTAATTCAGCAGGATTGTAGCGAGCGTAAGATAATAAAATAACGCTCGTCGAGGGAGACTCGCATTACCCTCGACTGATTGGGTTATAATTCAGATAAAACTTGTGGTTCCAAATGATGTCTCGAGAACGGTCCTCGTCAATTTTTTCAACCTTTTTCAAAACTAACCAAAAAACTGTCACCGTTCTTGTTATTTATGTAATGTCCATTATTCATGATCATTTTTCACACATGAAACAGCAGTCCGCCATGAATAGCTACTATGATCCTTGCGTCTTTTAGTAATGCGAAACTCGAAATTTCGACTCAACTGTTCAACTATTTTTGCAGTCTTTTTTTCAATTATTGGAATATTCGACTTCTTTCAAAATTCTTCTGCTCATTCTCATTGAAATGATGTCCCTTCAGAACCCTTTTACTCACTCGCAAGTATACGAATACTCGAATAATTGAACGGAAGGGTAGACTGTTGAATTTAAGTTTCAAACTATAGATATTTGGTATTATGACAATCTATGATTGTATACATTTCCTATTCTCTCTTTCTCTTCCTCTTCATATACAACAATTATCTCCTTTCTTCCTTTCTATATGAACTTCGACATTAGCCTCTTAATCCATATACCCAGCATAGAGATATTGATAGATTTATCTCTTCTTATTATGCAACATTCATATGATATTGATATCAGAAACGCACGCTTATGTACGACTGTTTCTGCTCTCTGTGTTTGGAAAAGACCATGATCGCATGACCATCTGGCTCATCAACTCATTGTATGATAGCGATAGATCTAAGATATTATTTACAAAGCTTGATATTTTTCTGTAGCGCAATACCGTATGTACTGAGAACTATGAAAGGACGAGGAACATACAGTGCAGATTCGATTTGTTTCGATTCAATACAGGATACACTTATCATATATTATCTCTTGTGTTATATGTCATCACAGGCATCTTCAAACTAGGATCTAGCATCGCGACCAAAAAACGTTTTTGGTTCCAACCGCAAATGGCTGCACTATTTCGTTGATTCGAATATAAGAGAATCTGTTAAATGTGCATTTTGTAGAGAATTTTTTTCTCTATCGAACTGTATAGGGTAGATCATAATGGAACACTGTGTCTTCGACTAATGCAGCAAAATGATCGGGCGAATTTCGGTTCTGCCCAGCTCGCTCAAAGCTAACCCTTTGGTTTCTTTTTGACACTGGTCTAAAAGAAAGTTTTATGGTATCGTTGAAAGCATACAGCTTGGAAGAGGAAACGGTTCTCTATAAAATACACATTTAGAAGATTATCTAACATTCTAAACAATCAAATGGTACAGAAATCTTCGGTCGCGCTGCTGCACCATACCTTATACGTGTTCTCCCTTTCCTAATAAAATGAAGAGTTAAGTGAAGAAAGATGAGTGTTCATGTAGATTTCAAATCCAAAGGTGTCAAAATGTTTCTAAATGTGAACTAGAAAGCGTCACCGGGAACAGCTCGTCGTGAGTGGCGCCCCTTGTAGCGCCGCCCACGGCTCACCGCTCCGCACGCTTCCCATTGTTCAGGCTAACTATCCAACTTATTTAAACAATGCCTACTTCAACACTTTTCAACAAAATTATCAATCACTAGAGACGTTGTCATATCAAAATCTCGATCATTTAGTCTACGATCATCACTTTTCTTCTCTGCATCATTATACTTGAGTGTGAGACACATCCTTTTCTGGTGTCCAATCTGTGATTCGGTACACTAGCAAAAACGAATACTAACAATAATTTATACAAGATTCTTCGCCGTCTCTTTTCTATAGTCACACGAACAGCAGCAAAAGAATCAGAATTGTATTTTGGACTTGTGTTTCGCAGGAAATTCTTCTACTATCACAAATACAAGTTACATTACATTCTGAGAACGAATCTTTCAGTTTCGGTGTATGATACATTTCCTTGCACATTTGGAGTTACGAAAAACTTTTACCTAATCTTTGTTCCACTCATAATGAAATTCTCTTATGGGCCGTTGACCTCAGGGCTCAACGTACGTTTAACATCGACCCTATCTCACGTGTTCTCACCCTCTCAACCAACTTTCAGTCTCAAAACATCCTTCGAAACCATGTTTTATGAAGTTTTCAACATTTAAAAAAAAATGTAATTTGACCTTTCACCTTTGATCTGCGACAGACATACTCACAAACGAATTTCGATTTTTGGACCACTTTTCCCGACATGACCCTTCTTTCAGTCAAGGGAATGAAACAATGCTCAGTACATCTAGCTGCAACCTAACTATGAATATATTGAAATGCATGCACAAACAAGAGAAAAATGTCATTTGACGCGATGTCATCGAGGATATTAGACTTTATATCCATCTTTATTTTTTTCTGAANTTTTACTCACTCGCAAGTATACGAATACTTGAATAATTGAACGGAAGGGTAGACTGTTGAATTTAAGTTTCAAACTATAGATATTTGGTATTATGACAATCTATGATTGTATACTTTTCCTCTTCTCTCTTTCTCCTCCTCTTCATATACAACAATTATCTGCTTCCTTCCTTCCTATATGAACTTCGACCTTAGCCTCTTAATCCATATACCCAACATAGAGATATTGATAGATTTATCTCTTCTCATTATGTACCATTCATATGATATTGATATCAGAAACGTACTCTTATGTACGACTGTTTCTGCTCTCTGTGTTTTGAAAAGACTATGATCGCATGATCATCTGGCTCATCAACTCGTTGTATGATAGCGATAGATCTTAGATATTATTTACAAAGCTTGATATTTTTCTGTAGCGTAATACTGTATGTACTGAGAACTATGAAAGGACGAAGAACATACAGTAGAGATTCGATTTGTTTCGATTCAATACAGGATACACTTATCATATATTATCTCTTGTGTTATAGATCATCACAGGCATCTTCAAGCTAGGATCTAGCATCGCGACCAAAAAATGTTTTTGGTTCCCACCGCAAATGGCTGCACTATTTCGTTTATTCGAATATAAGATAATCTATTAAATGTGCATTTTGTAGAGAATCTCTTTCTCTATCGAAATGTATAGGTTAGATCATAATGGAACACTGTCTCTTCGACTAATGCAGCAAAATGATCGGGCGAATTTCGCTTCTGTACAGCTCGCTCAAAACTAACTCTTTGGTTTCTTTTTGACACTGGTCTAAAAGAAAGTTTTATGGTATCGTTGAAAGCATACAGCTTGGAAGAGGAAACGGTTCTCTATAAAATACACCTGTAACAGATTATCTCACATTCTAAACAATAAAATAGTGCAGAAATCTTCGGTCGCGCTGCCGCACCATACCTTATACGTGTTCTCCCTTTCCTAATAAAATGAAGAGTTAACTGAAGAAAGATGAGTGTTCATGTAAATTTCAAATCCAAAGGTGTCAAAATATTTCTAAGTGTGAACTAGAGACGTTGTCATATCAAAATCTCGTTCATTTAGTCTACGATCACTACTTTTCTTCTCTGCATTATTATACTTGAGTGTGAGACACGTCCTCTTCTGGTGTCCAATTTGTGATTCGGTACGCTAGCAAAAGCAAAAACGAATACTAACAATAATTTATACAAGATTCTTCGCCGTCTCTTTTCTATAGTCACACCAATAGAAGCAAAAGAATCAGAATCGTATTTTGGACTTGCGTTTCGAAGGAAATTCTCCTACTATCACAAATACAAGTTACATTACATTCTCAGAACGAATCTTTCAGTTTCGATGTATGATACATTTCCTTGCACGTTTGGAGTTATGAAAACGTTTACCTAATCTTTGTTCCACTCATAATGAAATTCTCTTATGGGCCGTTGACCTCAGGGCTCAACGTACGTTTAACATCGACCCTATCTCACATGTCCTCACCCTCTCAACCAACGTTCAGTGTCAAAACACCCTTCGAAACCATGTTTTATGAAGTTTTGAACATTTTCAAAAAAAATGTAATTTGACCTTTGACCGTTGACCTGCGACAGACATACTCACAAACGAATGTCGATTTTTGGACCACTTTTTTCGACATGACCCTCCTTTCAATCGAGGGAATGAAACAATGCTCAGTACATCTAGCTACAATCTAACTATGAATCTATTAAAATGCATGCACAAACAAGAGAAAAATGTCATTTGACGCCATGTCATCGAGGATATTAGACTTTATATCCATCTTTATTTTTTTCTGGAGACTTTTTAGCCGATGCTGGAGTATCGATCGAATAAGCTGGTGGTTCGTCCACGACACTTATCTCTACAGCTGTGCTTCGACAATGCTGAAATAAACACCAGATAACGATAGCAACAATCATTAGTGAAAGCAGTAGCATATTAATGAGCATAACGGTATTGAGAACAGCAAGTATGCTCACAAGTTTATGAACTCCATTGCGAACTTTTTCATTGATCCCAGCTGTTATCTGTTCAANTTATGGTATCGTTGAAAGCATACAGCTTGGAAGGGGAAACTGCTCTCTATATAATACACATTTAGCAGATTATCTAATATTCTAAACAATAAAATGGTGCAGAAATCTTCGGTCGTGCTGACGCACCATACCTTATACGTGTTCTCGCTTTCCTAATAAAATGAAGAGTTAAGTGAAGAAAGATTAGTGTTCATGTAAATTTCAAATCCAAAGGGGTCAAAATGTTTCTAAGTGTGAACTAGAGACGTTGTCATAGCAAAATCTCGTTCATTTAGTCTACGATCATTACTTTTCTTCTCTGCATTATTATACTTGAGTGTGAGACACATCCTCTTCTGGTGTCCAATTTGTGATTCGGTATGCTAGCAAAAACGAATACTAACAATAATTTATATAGGATTCTTCGCTGTCTGTTTTCTGTAGTCACACCAGGAGAAGCAAAAAAATCAGAATTGTATTTTGGACTTGTGTTTCGAAGGAAATTCTCCTACTATCACAATTACAAGTTACATTACATTCTGAGAACGAATCTTTCAGTTTCGATGTATGATACATTTCCTTGTACATCTGGAGTTATGAAAAACTTTCTTTTACCTAATATTTGCTCCGCTCATAATGAAATTCTCTTATGGACCGTTGACCTCAGGGCTCAACTTTCAGTGTCAAAACACCCTCCCAAACCATGTTTTATGAAGTTTTGAATATTTTCAAAAATGTAATTTGACCTTTGACCTGCGACAGACATACTCACAAACGAATTTCGATTTTTTGACCACTTTGTTTCGACATGACCCTCCTTTCAGTCGAGGGAATGAAACAATACTCAGTACATCTAGCTACAATCTAACTACGAATCTATTGAAATGCATGCACAAACAAGAGAAAAATGTCATTTGACGCGATGTCATCGAGGATATTAGACTTTACATCCATCTTTATTTTTTTCTGGAGACTTTTTAGCCGATGGTTTGTCCACGACACGTATCTCTACAGCTGTACTTCGACAATGTTGAAACAAACACCAGATAACGATAGCAGCAATCATTAGTAAAAGTAGTAGCATATTAGTGAGCATAATTGTATTGTGAACAGCAAGTATGCTCACAAGTTTATGAACTCCATTGCGAATTTTTTTATTGATCACAGCTGTTATCTGTCCAAGCAATTTAGCCGCATCACACCAATTGTATGTAATAATTTGCGTATCATAGTTTACGACTATCGAAACATATGGACCCATACGAAATCAAAACGAAAAGGAAATCAATTAGGCGAAAATGGTAAGGTTGGTGTAATGCAAAACTCAAGCAAAATTTTTTTTTTGTGAATTTTTTATGAAATCCGATGCAGTTTGATGCGCTGCATCCGAATATGTATGATTTATTTAGATAAAAAGTTTTCTTCCCGCTGAAA